TCATCCTCGCCAGAATCCATTTTTCCTTCTTGCTGCATAGCAACAAATTTCTCCACTCTCCGCTCCCAAACCTCCGATGTAAGGTAGTTACCTCACGGTTAACATTTCTCCTTCCTACTCTTATCCTCTTATACCCCCAATTGGTGGTAACCAGTAAGTGGTTACTTTTTGAAAGAAGGAGTTTGCTCTATGACCTTATGTTAACAAGCTCAAGAGGTAAGAAGTAATTTTCTGTGAATTTTTTAATCTCATTATAGTTGATTTGTTAAGTCTTACACATAAAAATATCTTTGAAAAATGTGAATTTTACTAATCAAAATAGGGGGTTTTTTCTATCCTATTTTGAGGCATTGGAGCTGCTATTGGTGTTGGGTGTATGTAATAGTGTAACTTACGCCCAAGAGGTAGGGTAACAGTTAAATAGATTGTTGTATTTAGCTATTCCTTTTCTAGTTTTTTTTATTATTTGAACTACATATCTCGTAGTATGTTATTAGTCATAACAGATAAGAATAATAGTTTGTTAAATTGCCTCTCTTAGAGGTAAAGAATCCATTGTAATGTCTTTACCCTCTTTTAATACCAATATAGATGATATTGATCATTTTCTCAAAAAAAAAAAAAAAAAAAAAAGGTTTTCTTCAAAAAGAAATAAAGCTAGAGTTTTAAACTAAGCATTGAGTCCCTATTTTCTAATTTGGTGTCCAGACTACAAATTAAGAAATAAGAAGGGTAGCCCTCAATATCAGGGGACTTTTCTTTTCACCTTCTTCTAAACTACAAAATAGAAAATATGAAGAGTAGTTCTCAATATTAGGAGGCATCCTTATCTAAATTATCACGCTAAGGATTCAGTTATAATCCACAATCATTATGTCTTTTTTGTTTCCATTTTCTATCTCTTTTACATTCTCCTAGAGGGCAAGTTGCATCATGCTAAAGGAAGACATTGTGGAAAGTCATTTTTGTGGCAAACACAGGGCTTACATTCAACTTAAAACCAATTGACAATATATGGAGTAACTCTTTTTGTATTTAATCCGCATACTTCTTTATTATATATTTGGTGTGAGATTTTCCCATATAAATGTCAAATCCTATCATGTGACTTAATACGTTCTTTTTGTATTTAACCAACATACTTCTTTGATATATACTTTTATTTAACTTAAAACCAATTGACAATAGGTGGAGTAACCCTCTTTATATTTAACCCACATACTTCTTTGATATATAGTTGATGAGAGATTTTTCTACTCAACCCAAACCTAAGTAAAAATCTTGAGTACAAACTCCACATGAATGAAGCCAACAACCTAATTAACTTAATGGTAATCTTCTTCTAATGGAAGTAAGAAGTCAAGAGTTTGACTCGCATTATATGCAATTGGGATTAATTAAAGGATGAGAGAAAATTATCTCCATTGTGCAACCCAAGAAAAAAAAAAAAAAAGAACTCTCCAAATGGATGACAGCAAAGCTTACCCCTGCTATTTTTCCAAACAATATTCTCAATGAAAGTTTAGTTGCTCAGGTGAAGTTGATATATTGTTGTTAGTTTGTAGTAACTTCTCTCTAATAATTTGTGGCCATTAACCCACCTAAAGACTTTTGGAAGTGAAACTAAACAAAGGATACATTTTCTTACTTTTCTATATATATGGTTGCAACTTGCAAGTGATGTTGCAAAACAGCCTCATTGAGTAAGACCACAAATCTTCAATACTTAGAAAGAGAACTGATGAGGCTCTAATGATGTCCAAAACAAATGGTCTCATGCCATGAACTTCCTACTTGAAATGTTCTCTTAGGAGACTTATTCTATGCTATGAATGACAACACCAACTACAGCTTTCATGTAGTTTATTATATGTAGAGACAAGAACATCCCAAATGGTCACCTAAAACGCAACATAGATTTCCTAAGGAATGGTAGACTTTGCTTCCCTCAAGGCCGGTGAATGCTTCCCTTCCTGAAACCTCTTGCGCAAGGCTGATATAACACGAGCAGCTGCTTGTTTGCGTACAGCCTCCCAATTGCGTTTCAAGTCACTAGACTCTAATGAAAAGGCTTCCACCTTGGAAATGGCTCGAACGGTTCTGCTGAATTTAGGAAGGTGTAATGACTTGGGATCCTGAACCCATTGTACAAGTTCCTCTCCACAAAAATCACCACCTTGTAGGTAAACTTTGCTATCACTGTTGCTAGTGTTGAAGATCTGTAGTTTACCTTGCACAAAAAATAGCATCTGATCAACCCTGTCTCCTTCCCTAAAAAGGGAACCCTCCATGCACAACACTGGTTTGGCACAGAAACACAAGGCATCCAACAGTTTTCTCCCAATCAAACTAAAAGCTTCCACCTTAATAAATAAATAATTGAAATGAGAATAATAATCACAAAAGAGAGATGCAAAAAAATGTATTTATAGTTTGATCATTAACAATTAAATTGGCTTTATCATTTAGACTCTAATGCAATGGCTTGTCATCTATGCTTCTCAGCATAACTTATAGACACCTGATATATAAACATAAATATATATATATATATTTGGCTAGCAAGATGAGATAGAGAAAGCAAGGTATGAAAACATAAAAGAAAAAGTGACATGGTAAGGTGGAATAGGATGGTCTTTTAAATGGAAAAATGTGATAAACAGACTCTATAGGGAAAATATAAGTCATGTGTAAAACATGGAAATTTTGAAAAATAAAAAACATTAATCATTTGACTTTGTTTTTAGAAGTGAGAAACTTACGAAGATCAAAGATCAATCTTACATCAACTATTGAGTATACACTGACCATAACACATTACGTACATTTTTGGTTCAGACTAAATGCTTATTAATGATTTCAATTTAGAGTACGAGACATTATCTTTCTCTCATACATTCATTCTACATACCAATGAAACATAAAAAACTTGTTGCGTTTGTTGGAGTTTTGTTTTTGATTTTATGTTATTATCCTTTGTGTCATATACATTATGCATGATTTGTAGAAATAATAAAGTAAATTGTTACTAATATCATATGCACTAGGTCAAAGTATGAATGACAATTGTGGAGCTGTTTGGTTTGTTTTTAAGCAAATTTTTCTCTAATAAATTTGAAAATTTGTTTGACAGAAAATTTGAATTTGACTTTTAGAATGGTTTTAAGCCAGTTTCATGAAAGTTATTTGTTTAAAAGCGAGTTTGCTCTTAAACTATGCCAAACAACCTTCATATAAATTTCAATTGATCATAATCAAGATTGGTCTAATTATAAGGAAATAAGGAACATAGCTACCACCTAACTATGATTTGGTTCCGCCTCCTCCCTCTCAAAAAGAAACCCTAGCTTATCTTTTATCTTTTCTTGGGCGGCAGGCTTTGTAGGATTTTCCTATGTATGCTTGTCTTCCTAGGATTTGTGTAGCTGTTTTTCTTTCGAGTTTTTTTTTTTTCTTTTGATTTTTAATAAGGACTTTTGTCCTCGTTAGGTCTCTAATGGAAGTTTTGCTGCAGTCAATTGATTTATATAAGATGTGGCGTTCATTGGTTCTTTATGACATTAAATTTGAAGGTATTTTTCCAGTAAATCTACAAAATGTGACACAACAAGAACTCAATCTTCTCAAGTGGTCTCCTCAGTTAGTTGCCAAGATCTATATTTTTAGGGATTGCATAAGGGTTGAGATTGCCATGTTTTACATTGTTTTCTTTTATTATGTAAAAATTTCATAGAGATTCAAGTGGGATTTGATATACACACTTGTATGATTTGTTTCCTCCTGCTAAAATCTTTTAGTGTGAGTTGTTCAAGAAATTTTAGTATGAATGCAATTCCTATTTACTTATATATATATAAAAAAAAAAACTAGGGTTTGGTTAGGCTCTCTCATTAGGGTTTTCTCTCTTTTGATAGAAGCCTTCCCTTTTCTTTTCTTTCTTTTCCCCTCGATTTTCTTAGATATTACAAAACACAAGGCTACAAACAACTCCATTATCTTGCTACTAGAATCATCTCCCCTTCTACACTCTATGACTCTCTTCTTTTACAATGTTGGTGGTGATGGCAGGCAGTCACAAAGGTAGGACTCATGAGAAGCTAGCTACTTGTCCAACAAAGGCTACTAAAGATCTAGGCTCCCTTCTCGGATGGATCCAGTTATTCAAAGAGGAGAAATCAGAGTTTCACTACAAATCAATTGGAAAAACTCGATTTTCTTCTCTAAAATCTCTCTTAATGATAGGGAAGGTCATACTCACAAGCCTACAAAATGCAATTATATTGTCATGAAAAATGAGATTTAGTGTGCATACCAAAGATATTGGTAAGAAGATTTTCTTATTTTAGTTTGCAAATAGTTATGATTTGGATAGATATATGTAGAAAGTGCCATGGAACTTTGATTGCCTTGATTATTTTGAGGCATTTTGACAAATCTTTGGCCCTTGAAAATTATGACTTTTCAAATGTGCCCCTTCTAAGTTTGCTTTTTTGGCCTCCCTTGTGATATAATCAACAATACAAAGGATAGGAAGCTCCATGGGGCAGGTTTTGGTG